CACATCACACTAAATTAATTTCACCATTTATGCATTAATACAATGAAATGGTGTTAAAATGAAGGGAAAACAATCACACTTCCTGCTGCATCCAATTTTCTGGTTGAAATATTTGATAGCGTTATTCATTATTATTTCACTCCGTGCTGTAATGTAAATACTCCTTTCTCTCCGTTGTATAATTCCTCTGCTGGCGATTATTGAAAACTCAACTAAAAGACATATCTGGCCTCCCAACAGAGGGGAGCAATGGAGGATGGAGGATGTTCTCTCCCGTAATCCCGCTGAGTTCCACTTCCCGAAGCGAGCGATGTCTGTTTCATGCAGAGCAAAAAGGTTTCCTGTCAGACGCCCACGCCAAACACTCGAGGTTTTGCTACGGAGGCAAAGTTGTGACCTACAGAGAAGAAAGGAAGCTGAAGAAACACAGATGAAGAGACTTCTTGAGGCATAAGTCATCGGCAGAATTCAGATGAAAGATAAAACTCTCGGATAAAAGTAATGAACCTTTTTCCCTTTGACACAGAAGAAAGAATAAGAGCTCAGTGTCTTTTTAATGTGTTTTCCAAGTGTCAGAACTCTGCATCACTGATTCACACGTTCACTGGTGAGGGCGTAAAAACTGTTACTCACTTCTGACAACTACGTGATGACTCAGCGAGGCAACTTTTCCCACTGTGACCTCACATTTCTGTGGGAAGGCTCCTGTGCTTTGGAGGAAGCTTAATTATCTCCTTTAGAGTTCTGGGACTGTGATGATTGTGAGGTTTTAAACTGCTCTCACTGGTCCTTGATGACAAAGACAGAACCCTTGTGGTCCTCGTGGACGTGTGAGGCGACATCAGGGTTCAACAGACGACAGGACGTCACAGCTCAACTCGGGATCAGGAGTAGAGGAAGTGGCGTGACGTGAGCGGCAGCCGAGAAAGTTCTGGTTCTCGGCCCGCGGGACGGTTTCAAACTGACTTTTGATGCCAAACTTGTCGCGTGTTGAAAAAGGCGACGTCCCTGCAGCGCCGTGGAGTCTTGTTCTGGTCTGAAACTTTGAAGGTCGCCGCGGCGTTCGGGCAGCGTGATGTGGGAGGCCGGTCCCGGGGTTCAGCCGGGCCACTTTCAGCCCGCGGCGGCTGCGTCTCGCCCAGGCAATCTAAAAGCTGAGTCCTCTGGGGATCGCCGGGCTGCAGATTAGACTGCAGGTGTTGGACAGCGGATGCTGGAAAACAATCGACGCTGAGCTCGTTCCCAGTCGGCCTCCATTAGGTCGCCATTCCTCACTATTTTCTTTTGCCCAACGTGGCGCCGGTGTCTCTGTATTCATATTCCTATTGTTGCTGTGTGGTTGTTGTTGCCTCAGGCAGAGTCTTATTATTTGTTTCATAGGTGTTTTGTGGTTCATGGCTTGAGGATAATTTATCCACTAGTAAGAAATACATGTGTGAATGTGAAGGACGTAAAGCAGTAAATAATAAATTGCATTGACGCGGTCATGAATATAAATGTTTAGCAAAAGGAGGCTGATGAGACCAAATATCTTCATTCTTGATTTCATTTAAAAAGCAAAATCACTTTACTGACAAACAGGTAAAAGCCCAACGTTTGTATTAATATTATTACAACGTTGTCCCTTCATGAAATGTCATTAAATAAGCTGTTAAAGCTAATGCTAACAAGTGGCTAAAGGAGGCCACACCCCCCCGATAGAGAATAGAAATAGCAGCGGACACTCGCACACTACTGTGAAACGCATCGACACGCAGCAGCAGCGTCTTTGCAGGGCGGAGATCCAGGGCCTGGGGAGGGAACGTTACAGTACCCCCCCCCCCCTCAGAACGTCCTATGGAATCAGTGGGAATTGCATGTAGGCTGCAGCTCGGTGGCTCCGCCCCCAACTCTCACAAACGACACCCCGCCCCCTCCCCCGTCAGCTAATCAGCTGACTCCTCCCAGCTCTTCAAAACGCACACCTCCACCCTGCAGGGGTCCTGCTGTGCGTCTGGTTTACTACTCACAGTTACTTGAATCATTCTGTCATATAGTCTCATGTATTATACGTTGTTCATTCTGTCCACATGACGTCATTGTAGTCGTCCATCAGGAGACGGATCCTCCTCTGACGTTCTCACTGAGGTTTCTTCCCTTTTTTCCCTCTTGGAAAGGTTTTTTCATTGTTTGGGGAGTGTTTCCTGTGCTGATGGAGGGTTTCGGGGCAGAGGATGTCGTATGTGTACAGACTGTAAAGCCCTCTGAGGCAAATTTGTAATTTGCGATTATGGGCTACAAAATAAAATGAATTAAATTGAATTGAATAGAGCAATAAGCCCGCGGGGGGGTCGGAGAAGTCGGGTAAAACTAAAACATGGGTAGTTTTCTTATTTTCATTGTTGTTTATTTTTTAGCTGGCACCTTTAGAATGTGAATAAATAAATCTCTCGTCTCTCATTGGTCCACCAGTTCGTCCTCTGCCTCCTCCTTCATTTATTCCTTCTTCCATCTTCTCAACAACACTTTTCTTGTGTAACAGAAGCAATGAAACACATTCCCATGATGTCGTGCGTACGGAGCTCAGTGGTCCGGAGCAAAGAGAGGAGCCCCCCCCCCCCCCTCACCTTCCCCTTACCTCCCCCATGTATGAAGAAATGTAAATTCGGTGTGAATCTGCTGAGTGGGGACAGAAACGACAGCGAGGTGATGAACCCTCATGTTTGATCCACCTCACACCTGGTGTCCAATGTTACTCCTGCCTTGCACCTTGCCCCGGGTCTTATTTGGGGGCGCTTGGTGATGGAATAAGGCATCGTGTGTGTCTGCGTTTGTGTGATTGCTCTCTGTCTTTGCGTGTGCGTTCGCGTGTGACGTGACGCGCGTTGACGTTGAGGGATCCACGACTTGCTCTCATTACCCCCCAGTTTTCTGCGTTGACCTCCGAACCCTCCGAACGCTGTGATCGATGTACTCGATCACCCGGCCTGAGCGATACTAATTAGAGGCCCTCCTCACCCCAATTAAAGCAGCTCCCGTCCCGCGGCTCCACACACACTGTCCCCCCCTCCGGTGTGCGATCCATCACAGCAGGGACGGACAAAATGTTTGTGTTGCCCTTAAATGAGCCGGGTTGGCAAACACGTAAGCTCTAAATATCCTCCAACAAAGACTATTAGAAGTGAAACTATCTGTTTCTTTGTGTCCCAGGCAGGAGGGAGATCAGGACCGGAGCTCCTCCGGCTGTGCTGCAGGTCTGAGACGCTTAGAAAAGACACTATAAAGTTGTTCTGGTGTTTCTATGGAGCTTCACCTTGGATTTCTCCTTAATTTGGTAACAAATGATCAATCACAACGAGGCCCCGCCCTAAATCACACTCTGCTTTATGGTCTATTTGACTCTAAATAATGAACATCATGTTGTGTTGAAGAAGACCGAGACGTGGAGTCTTTTTCTCTCTGACTTATAACCCGTCAGACGGGTGCAGGTCATCGAGGACTGAGCTTTGTTTGTGGGGCCACCAGGAGCTCCTTGGTTTGTGTGCACTCATGCATGAGCATGAACACACGTCCATGCTGAAGACGCGCTTCCCCATCGAGTCCCCCAGCGGGAGACGGCCGTCCTGCTGCTGAGGCCTCGTCGACAGCAACGGCTGGAGAAGCTGTGGGTTTGAATCCTATTAGATCTGTTCCTGTGTACCCTCGGGGGGGGGGGGGCAGGTAGGGACGTCGCCTCGTGATTTATTCAAGCTGCGGATTTTCCCTTTTTTTTACAACCTGTCCCGTCCCCGTGCTTCTGGCGCGCTCGCGGTGCCGGCGTCTCTCATGCTGTCATCGCACTCGGCTGGTGCCGATGCTGTGAGGAAAGCAGGGGGACGAGTCCCTCACAGCGCGGCTCAGGCGTCCTCTGCATAATTACCCGTCTTCAAGTGGGAAGAAAAACGCTCGGTGATTCATTTGTTGTCCCTCATTTCCTCCTCACGTCTGCGTCGGGCGACGCCGTGCAGAGAAGCAGCAGCTCGACGCCCAGTCGGGTTTGAGACGTCGGCTCTGATCACGAAGCTCGAGGAGGATGTTTACCTTTTGTTTTCATGTGGATTCAAGGATTACTTTTAATTAATTGGCCCCCGCTGCACTGAAAGCTGTGAGACAAATCAAGCAAACACAAAAAATAACATCTTTCAAACACCCAGAGGCTCACACGCGCACACACATACATACACACACATACACACACATATACACGTGCACACACATAAACACGTGCACACACATACATACACACGCACACACATGCACACATATATACACGCGCACACATACACACATATATAGACACATGCACACAAATGCACACACATGCACACACATACACACATATAAACACGCGCACACACATACACACATATATACACACATGCACACAAATGCACACACATGCACACACATACACACACGTGCACACACATGCACACAAATGCACACACATGCACACACACGCACACATATATAATCACATGCACACACATACACCCACGCACATGCACACACATACACACATGCACACACACACACACACACGCACACGCACACACATACACACACATACACACACCTATTCACACATGCACACACATACACACATGCACGCACGCACGCACATACATACACACACATATTCACACATGCACATATATACACACGTGCACGCACGCACGCACATACATACACACATGCACACACATGCACACATACATACACACACGTGCACACACATATTCACACATGCACACACATACACACACGCACACACACATGCACACACACATACACACACACATACACATACACACATGCACACCTACATACACACACGCGCACGTGCACGCACATATTCGTCCCTCTTTATCTCGCTCTATAAAAACACACAACTCACAGCTGCGCTCCAAAGGTGTCTCTCGTATAACCGAGGTTGTCACATGTCTCCTCCTCCTCCTCCCTGTGTGTGTTCGCTCCTGCAGGCAACGCGTGCACCATGTCGGAGTACAACAAGCTGAAGAGCACGCTGCTGGAGATGCAGCCGGCGGCGCCGCCGAGCGGGCAGCGCGGCCGGCAGAGGGACATGGAGGCCAAGCGGGCGCTGGTGGACACCATGTTCAAATACCTGGACGCGGACGGGGACGGGCGGCTGGTCGGGGGCGAGCTGGAGAAGGTGGGTGACGTCATCGGGGCGAGGAGAGGGGGGGGGGGCAAAGGGTGTCTGATCGGCGGAGGCGTTTATTCTGTTCACGCCAAGAGAACCGTTGTGGCGTCAAAGACTTTGAAACTGCAGCTGAGACATCAGCAGGTTCAGGGATGAGAAAGGGAAGGAAAGTCATCTTCTCTTTGATGAAACCCTCCCTCCCCCATGTTTACCTTCCTCTCACATCCAACCTGCCGCAGCCTCGTCTGCTCTAACGATAGAAAAGTCCTACAGCTCGATGGAAACGACCTCATCCAGATGAGACACTTTAATCACAAAGGTCCACTGTAAATCCAAATAAATATAATTATTTAAACCTAAAAGAAAATGCAACACATTTTAAACTTTGTCACATGACTGTTGGTCTCAGCCGAGTCCATCAAGGCACATGACCTTCTGAGCAGCGCAGAACTTCATTTTTAACAGAGGAGCCGGTCCAGTGTTTTGATAAAATATGTGTTTAACTGCTTTTCCTGAATTAAGCGTTCGTCGTACACGATGTGTTGAAGGTTCAGAACCCAGTGGCAGTGTTGATTGGTGTGAAGACAACCACAGGCTTTAGGTTCCACGGTCCCGGCTGTGACGTAGAGCGAGTGGCGTGTGGCTCAAACATTTCATCCATCCCATTAACTCAGAAAAAGGTCGCCTGAGGGACAGAAATCGGCGCGATAAAGGGTCGGCGTTGACGGGGAATCGAATGGCCCCGGGCATCATCTGGTGTCTGGAAATGGGCATCGGCGCCGGGTGTTAATTAGACCCCGCCCACCCGATGCGTTGGTCTCGGTGAGTCGTGCCAGAACGCGGTGAACCGCGTCGGTGAAACGCTTCTCGTTTCCAACAATCTCCTTCTTGTTATCTGGAGGATGGAAGATGCCACTGAACACCAGGCTTATTAGAAGCTGGTGATTAATTAGTGAAATTTAAATATAGTCTGTAAAACGCCACAGTGATCCATCTTCTGTCTCATCTGTGCAGCTGTGATTGGCAACTCGCTTTGTCCTCTCTGGAAATTAAAGAGGATGTCGCTGCAGAAATGTAAAATAAAACCCTTTCTGGAAGAGCTGCACTACGAGATCCAACGAAAGCTTTGGATCAATCAGAGCCGGCAATTACACACGTTGGAAACATTGGATTAACATTTTAGAACATTAGAAATCTATAATGTTTAAGCAAAAGGCTTTTTTTTTATATGTAACTATTTCTTTAAAAGAATAACCTGCACATCTTTTACATATTCCAGTACACCTGTATGAAGCAGGAGCTGCGTCTCTTGTTTGTCTCACTGAAACTGCATCACCTTCTCAAAGACGTCTCCCCGGGGAAGAAGACGCTCTCCCACCGCCAAAGAGACGGCTCGTAAATGACAAACAATGGCGGAGTGAGTGGAGCGTCTTCCCAGGGGAACATCTGTGCATTAACGGAGGAGCAGCAGCAGTGGAAGACATTTTAAAATGGAAAAGCAATCACGAGCAGCACTTATGTGATATATAAACCCCCCCGTCCTCCCCCCTTCACACGGAACGGCTCTCAGGAGGATGTTCACCAGGGATGAAAAGCACACTCATAAAATACTTAAAGCTGACTGTATTCAGGCTGTAAATTCATTCAAATCACTTTAACATCTGCGGGAAAACACAAGTAATCACAACTTGTGCTAATTGGAACATCAACATTTGAAAGCTTTCATCAGAAGTCTGTTTAAATTTGATGAACAAAAACGTGCAAAATACTGGATTCGTGTTGATTATATAAATCCTTTATTATTGTGTCTTTGTCCATCATCGCACAGGAGGGAGAGAGACTCCTCGATATCTGTACCTGCAGACTAGCTTCTTTGCTCTGAATATCACATTTAGCACCTGAAAGAGTCCGAATGAAGCCGCTCACATTCCTGAAACGATGCTGAGGAAGAAGAACACATTTGGGTCGTACCTCCGCCTTGCGAAATGTCAAATTTACATTTATACCGAATGTGCACAATGTGGCCTCAGCAGATAGACGAGCTGTGCGACACACCGGCTGTGCGAGTTGTTCAGCCGCTGTGTTTTGTGTGCTCAGGTCTCTGCGAAGGAGCACGTGGAGGACGGCCTGCTGGAGTGCACCATGCAGGACCTGCTGCGCTACGACGACTACAACAACGACGGCCACCTCAGCCTGCACGAGTTCTACACAGCCTTCCGTGAGTCCTTCATCCTCCTCCTCTTCCTCGTCAGCGAAGCACAGAGATGCACCGCGGCACTGCGCCGCGTGTCTTCTGCGTCTTTGACCTTCCTGCATGCGACACCAATGCTTATAAAGGCGTGGAAATGACCTCCCAGGAGTCCGCAGACGTCCCTCGCAGTCGGACGGGATCACGGTGTTTGCGCCACGGGTGATCAGGATCAGTGGCGTCCCGATTGGAGCCCCGGGCGCCGCCGTTGTGCCCTTTTGGGTTTTTAGGCAGAGCGGCGGCTGAGAGCTCAGGCAGGTTCCACCTTGTTAGGACCAGTAATCGCAGAGGAAGTTCACGCGTCGCAGCAGCTGCCCGCCGCAGGCGGCCATTGCTTTTTGTTCGGGGGGGGGGCGGGTCCATTAGGCAGCGCCGCTGATTTCGCGGTTTCGTTGGAAAGCGTCACGCTTTCATCCCGTTCCACTCCCCCCCCCCGTCTGGTGTTTGGACGCGCCTGAAGAAACGGGCCGGCGCCGATCAAACCAGCTATTGATCAGCTGCGCTCAAGGTTAACTGCTGGCCTGCAGACCGGCAGCGCCAAGAGGGAGCGCTTGTTTTTGAGTGGGCATCTGGTGTTGTGGATGATGTGGATGGTGTTGAATTGTGTGTGTGTGTGTGTGTGTGTGTGTGTGTGTGTGTGTGTGTGTGTGTCCCCGGCGAGCGCTTTGGGGAGCAGAGTAGCCAGGAATCACAGGTGTGTCCGGCAGCGTGAACGTTTAGGACATTGAAGAGCGCTCATCGGCCTCAATGATGTGAGAAGGTTGTGTCCACGGCTCTCCTGCGTCGATGCTTTTCTTCTGTCCTCCCAAAGTCACCGGATTCCAGATTGCGTTGTTCTGGTCTCTTTGTTGTCTCTTTATCTAAAGTTTAAAAATCTCTCAAATCTCCGCTGTGTCGCCGCCCGAATCCATCTGTCATTTCTCTCCCCCGTGAATTGAATAGAGCCAATTGCCAGAATGCTCCTGAGATGATTGCATTCTTATTGATTTTTCCTCTTATTCTACCTTTAACAAGACCAGCAGACATTTTCTTGTTTTGTTTTATTGCCTCCTAAAGTCCCCCTTTAAAGTCGATTTGACTCAACCAGCCACGAGTATGGATTCATTCTAACAACCAGAGAATAAATGTAAGTCAACGTGGCTGACGTGGCCTCACTGCGTAGTGAAAAGGTCACAGTCTCAATGAATGGGAGACGTTCTGAAATGTTGCATTTTGTTGTTTCATTTATTGTTTCTATAAGTAACATTTCCTGTGTTCATTCCAAAATCGTATTACATTTAAAACTCTGCATTGCGTGTGGGAGCTTTAATCAATGTGTAACCTTTAAATCATCCCGGGTAATTGGGCTGAGGGGGGATTTCATTTGGCAGTCTTGTTTGGTGCGACCCCCCCCCCCCCCCCCTATGTCACACAGCGATCACAGCGACAACACAAACAAAAACACCTCCTGCTCCATCAGGACGGAGTAATCAGCGGGGATGACAGTAATGGCTTCCATCAGCTCTGTGCTTTCTAAAGGTGGTTCAGTTTCACATTTACCACCGTGTCCCCCCCCCCCCCCTGTCCGGATCCACCTTAATCCCACTGGAATCCACACGTGCAGGTCTTGTGCGCACGCCGCCTCTGTGGGCGCACGCGTGGCGTAACGAGATGCTTCGTGTAGGGTAGAGCCACGCCGCGCGGTAAATGAATTAACCTTCTCACCGGCTCCGGGAGGTGGAAATTAGCTCTGGCTGCAGGGTGAAGGGTTGGAGAAGGTAACATGGAGCCGGGTGAAGGTTCCATGTTACTCATCAAGCTTCTCTGGTCTGTGAAGTGAAAGGTCTTCAACGAAGGAATGAGGCCGGTGAGCAGGTGAGAGTAGAAGAGCTGCCAGAAAGCAAAACGACAACAGGAAGATGATGGATGCTTAAAGGAAACTACTTGATCCACCGGTGACCATCACAGATTCTCTGTTATTTTATCGGATTCGTAAAGTTTAACTTTACTGGAGCGCGTTCACACACATCTGGACGGCTTAACGCGCAGCAACGAGGTGCATGTTAAGGGAACAATTAGCAGTTAAGGGGCAGCGCCGTGAGCCAGCGGTCTCTCTTTTGATTGGACTGTAAAAAGCACACAGCTGGTGTGCATCCAATTAGGACCCATTGTTTCTCCATCGAGCCCCCACATGCAGCGCTGCCCCCCGAGCTCGCTGTGTTCTCTTCCTCCTCCACCTTTATCACAGTGGAATATCACCGAGGTTTTCGGGCTGCAGCCACTTTGGTCGCTTTGATTAATCAAGAGTGTGCACACATGTGACATGTGAGTACACACACGTTAGTACACACATGTACAAATACAACGCATGTATCCAATGACGCTCTGCGAATGAAGAGAGATCAGTCGCTCGACATCCACGACGCGTAAAGTAACGTCTACACAAACTGCACTTTACACGCTGTGGTCACACAGCCTCTGTGCTCAATGCAACAGGGAGAGAAGCCCAGTCAGTCGCCATGGCAACTGTGCCTGTCCGTTTAATGGCCGAGTCATTTTATTTAGCACAACACTCGTCTGATGGGTTTAATTCCCCGGAGAGGAGAGTGAAGAAGAGTGAAAGAGAGTGAAGGAGAGTGAAGAAGAGTGAAGAAGGGTGAAGAAGAGTGAAGGAGGGTGAAGGAGAGTGAAGGAGAGTGAAGAAGAGTGAAGAAGGGTGAAGAAGGGTGGTGAAGAGTGAAGGAGAGTGAAGGAGAGTGAAGAGTGAAGGAGAGGGAAGAAGAGTGAAGAAGGGTGAAGGAGAGTGAAGAAGGGTGAAGAAGAGTGAAGGAGAGTGAAGAAGAGTGAAGGAGAGTGTAGAAGAGTGAATGGAGAGTGAAGAAGAGTGAAGGAGAGTGAAGAAGAGTGAATGGAGAGTGAAGAAGAGTGAAAGAGAGTGTAGAATAGTGAAGGAGAGTGAAGGAGAGTGTAGAAGAGTGAATGGAGAGTGAAGAAGAGTGAAGGAAAGTGTAGAATAGTGAAGGAGAGTGAAGAAGGGTGAAGAAGAGTGAAGGAGAGTGAAGAAGAGTGAAGGAGAGTGAAGAAGGGTGAAGAAGAGTGAAGGAGAGTGATGAAGAGTGAAGAAGAGTGAAGAAGAGTGAGAGTGAAGAAGAGTGAGAGTGAAGAAGCGTGAAGGAGAGTGAAAAAGAGTGAAGGAGAGTGAAGAAGAATGAAGGAGAGCGCAGAGTGACGGAGAGTGAAGAAGAGTGAGAGTGAAGAAGCGTGAAGGAGAGTGAAGAAGACTGAATGGAGAGCGAAGAAGAGTGTAGAATAGTGAAGGAGAGTGAAGAATAGTGAAGGAGTGAAGAATAGTGAAGGAGAATGAAGCAGAGTGAAGGAGAGTGAAGAGTGAAGGAGAGTGACGAAGAGTGAAGGGAGAGTAAAAGACAGTGAGAGTGAAGAAGAGGGGGGCACTGAGATAACCGGTGAGCGTTGTAATTCATTCAGATCGGGTCGTAATGGGGGAGAAATGTCCCGCTACATCTGGAACATCATGTGAGGCTCATTAGGGCGACATGAGCACATATCCAACATCTCTCATGATTATAGATGCTCAATAGGGCCACGCAACGCCCCCCCCCCCCCGCCCACCAAAAACATCAACAAAAACGGGCTCATGTCCATCTAGCCCCTGAGAAGGGTTTTAAGGCCCCCCCCCCCCCCCCCCCGCGGGTTGTGTGAGCAGCTTGGGGGGCCCTTTTCCTTCCCCCAAAGCGGGGGGAGAAGATTCAGTTTATCACCCCCCCCATGTATTTGGGGGGTTAGATCTCTCTTGAAAACTATAGTTCTTATCTTTTGCTTTTTTTATGCACATGAATGCTCTTGTTGACAAAGACGCAGAGCAGGGGTCGAGGCGCTAAATGTGAGTCCGAAAACGATGAAATCGCATACACGATCATCGAAACTCGGCACCCGCCTACACTAGTTAGAAGATAATTGTGTGTCTCGGATATGAAATCC